TTCTGTTTTGTGTTTCCACCTAGGTTGTTCTTTGCCCTATGATATGTACATCTTGTGGGATCTGTACAGTACTAAGCATGCCTGTCAATGCTCAAATCCTGATAAAACAGTAAAAATCAAAAAATGAAACATTAACAAAATTAAAACAAAACTCAGAGCCCTCACTATAATAAAGAGAATCATCAAATTGCAATTGACAATTTCCTTCTAGGTAGTCATGAAAGAGCAGCACATTTTCAGCTTTCACTTGCAGCCAAGTAGCTGTTTTATTTGTACTGAATTTTACTTACAAAATGCAATCCAAGATGAAAGAAATTCCTGCTTGTACATGTTTTAGTTTAATCTGGAAATGCCTGTGTTTCTACTCCATCTTTCCAACCTGCTGAGATTAGCATTATGCACTGAACTGCTTGCTTAATTATATCTGCAGTACAGTTTATTACAATTAATTACTTTTTAAGCATAATGCTAGCATCAGACATGCTATTTACCAACAAAACCACTTTCCCTACCGTACAAGTTTAAAAGATCTTGAAAAACATGTTTTGGAAAAAACCTCTCTTTTATTAGGCCCCTAACAGACCTCATTTTCATTGTGCGATGGATAACGAGAAATTTTTTTTTGCAATGGAAGCAGTACACGAAATGTGTGGCTTGATGTTCAAAAGGCACGCTCACTGTCTGGAGGCAAAAAGGTGGAATGTGAGCTAGCACTGCTGGTACTTGCCAGCTGGAAGAGCTGCAGACCCACTTTCCAGGAGTGGTGAGGCGGTGCAGTTGCCTACCACCCCCCACTGGCTGCATAGTGCATGTACAGTGAGCTCTCTGAGCTCACCACCTTGTCAGCAGAGCCCTGGAATCCAGGGGGTGAATGAGGATGATGCTGCCCCCATCCCAGGCACAGAAACGTGGTCACCTGAGGTCACCTGTGCAAGTCTGGGGTGGAGGGACAGGACATCACAGCATGACCTGTCTTCTTCAAAAGGAAAACCTTTGAAAAATTATTAAGGAACACATTTGTGGGCGTCCAGCAGGAAAAATAATGCTGAAGGGCAACCAGCATAGATTCATAGCAGGTAGATCCTGCTTGACTAGCCTTGTTTCTTTTTACAACCAGGTCACAAATTCAGGAGTCAAGATAGATGTCATTTACTAGGATTTTAAAAAGGCCTTTGATACAGTGTCTCATCCCATTCTTATAAATAAACTAAGTGGCTGTGATGTAGATGATTACACAGTCAAATGGGTGGAGAACTGGCTTATGGGACGCACCCAGAGAGTGGTGACAGATAGGTCAGTATCAACCTGGAAAGATGTGGGCAGTGGAGTCCCCCGAGGTTCAGTCCTTGGGTCAGTACCATTCAATATCTTCATCAGTGACTTGGATGAGGGTGTGAAGAGCACTCTGTACAAATTTGTGGATGACATAAAATTATATGGCAAAGTAAGCACGTGGGTGCAAAGGGAACGGACTCAGGCAGATTTGGACAGGTTGGAAAAGTGGGCAGAACAGAATAGGATGCAGTTTACCAATGGTTAGTGCAAAGTGCTGCACCTAGGGAGAAAGAATCACCAACACACATAAAGACTGGGAGATGACCTTCTAAGTAGCACAGTGGCAGAAAGGGATCTCAGAATCATAGCAGACTCCAAGACGAACATGAGTCATCAATGTGACAAAGTGATTAGTAAAGCTAACCATACTCTATCATGTATAGCAGGTGCATCATGAGCAGATCTAAGGAGGTGATACTTCCCCTCTATGCAACATTGGTAAGATTCGACCTGAAGTACTGCGTCCAGTTTTGGGCGCCGCACTTCAAGAAGGATGTGGATAACCTTGAGAGGGTTCAGAGCAGGGCTACTCGTATGGTTAGGGGCCTGCAGGTAAGAACCTACGAGGACAGGTTGAGGGATCTGGATCTCTTCAGCCTCCACAAGAGAAGGCTTACAGATGATCTTGCGGCCATCTACAAATTCACTGGGGGGGGCGGGGTGCACAGCAAGGAATAGGATATACTCTGGTTACCAGGGCACCCTTTGGGGTAACTAGAAACAATGGCCACAAACTGACAGAGAGCAGATTTACGTTAGACATCAGGAAGAACTTCTTTACGGTAAGGGTTACCAGAATCTGGAATAGGCTTCCAAGGGAGGCGGTGCTCTCCCCTACCCTGGAGGTCTTTAAGAGGAGACTGGACAGGCACCTGGCTGGGGTCACCAGCACTCTTTCCAGCCCAGGGCAGGGGGGCAGACTCAGTGATCTACTGCAGTCCCTTCCGACCCTAAGAATCTATGAAATCTAGTATCCCCATCTACTAGGTTCTGCCAATCAGCACACCCTGGGATGCTAAAGGACCTGGTCATTTCCTATCACTGTGTACATAACATTACCAACTGTTCAGATTAAAGCAGGATACAAACAAGCCACATGTTCAACATTTAAAGAGTAATACCTTTGAGGATGGTTTATTGTTTTTGTGCCTGGTTTGCTGTTTTTATCATGTGATAAACTACTTGAAAATTTAGCATGTAACATTTTATTGTGAAATTAACATGTTCGTTACATAATAAAATAATAAATGTAATGTCTGCCACAACCTTAGGTTATGAGGAATAAATGTACTAGTCAGCTGCAAGAAATTCTAGGTTCTGGAATAATCCTATGACTGTAATTCCCTTGGACAGATATTTGTTTTAAAAAACAAAGGTATGGCATGCACTCCAATCACATGCAGACTATCATAATGGACAATTCAATAGATATATTTATCTCATTATTTAAAGGAAATTCTTACTGTGATGGTGACTAGGGGAAAAGATGGTTCCAAAATTTTAAAATGGGCAGCAGCCACTGCTAAATGACAAACAGCCATTTCAAAGAACATAAGGACTCAAAGGGGCTTCCCAGACCATTGAGTCCAGTGCCCAAAATAATTAAGCAATCCTGTCTAAATTATAACTGCAGGGTAACCAGTAAATTAAGATTTGCCTTAAAGTTTTCAGTAAGAGCCAGTAACACAAAGTTGCAAGGCTCCAGAAGTTCTAGATATAGGAATCAAACTGTGACTTCTGTGGTCCAGATGCTTCCCTTATTCACAAACTGGCCAGGGACTCTGTTTTGTTGAGGAACGCACTAGTGGTCAGGCTGTTGCCAGGGACAACATACTTCCCCATCATACCCAGGCAGTTCAGCTGGTTGGCATCAAGTATCAGCTTGAGATCAGTATGCTCCCCACTCACCAGCACATGGGAGAAGTGGTTCATATCTCAAGATCCAGGAAAATCTTACACCATGAAGAAAATACAACCTGAGCCTTAGCCAAATCATGCCATTAAAGTGTTCATACAGTACCAGCAACCAGTTTGTTCTAGACAGCATATTTTACCTTATACCTATTACAGAGAGTGACTGCATCTGGTTGATACCTTTTACTTGTCCAGGTTCTCCCTCGTCCTGTTGTAGTCTCTCCCACTGTGAGCTGCCAGACAGACAACATAAAAGTACTTTTCAGACCCCAAATCACATTTTTAGTGAAAAGTATGCATTTACTGAGTCTCAATTATTAAAATTAATTCTTCTTTGAGAAAAATAAAGCAAATACTTGTAAGTTATGTGGTTCTGCATAATGTTGACTCCAGACTGGTCAGGTTACATGCAATTTTCTCTATATAGAGAATTGCATCATCTAACTCCGACTGGCAAATAAGTATCCACACCCCTTTACATCCCAAAAGCAATACAGAATTGAACATCTAAAATATTGATGCTTTTAGTAGCCCACTGATTGGACTTATCCTACCCAGGTGACCAAATAGCAAGAACAGTGTTAAATACTACACCACTAAATTAGAAAGCATATATAAACAGCAAAATGCTGCTCATTTCTGAATGAATAATTTTAGAGTGCATAAAGTTTAAATATTCTGCAAGTGGAAATGCAAATATCAATAAGCAAACTGCTGTTTCCCCTTTGTCTAGTTCTAACATTATTCCAAAACATCTCCCTCTTCAAAACTCTGCAACTTAAGAAGCGATAATGACCAATATATGCAATGTATTGTTTCTACCTGTTGATAAATTTTGAATGAAAAAACCCTAGTAGCTTTAACAGAGTTGATTTTAAGAACTTTATGAAAGTTCACTCAATTAAAATGCAATATCTAATAGACTGTCTACCCAAAAATCAGAAAAACAAGAACTGGAATGATCTCAAGAGGTCATTTACTTGAACCTTCTGCTCAATGCAGTAACATGCCTATCTAAAGTACCCTACATCTTTGTACTTAAAAATCTCCAATGATATAGATTCCATAACCTCATAATAGGGTTCATAACTTTTGATCCATAAAATATTATACCAGAGGTTTAACAACAGCTGAGATATTAGTCAGATAAAATTAATAGTTAATTAGCTACATTACAAAGCAGCGAATTGTTTATCCAGTGTGTTTTACTAGCACTGAAGTACTCCTGGATCATCTTTTTTTACATAGTAAATTGAATAGTAAACCAGGTTCTGTTTTTATAATTAATTTGCAGTGATACAAAGGAAGATTCACAGTAATTACAATACTGTCACCTAAGAAAATATCATGTTTGTCTGAATTTTCCTGACAATTAATTTACAGATATACAGAAAGAAAAGCCTAAAGCTAAAACCCACAAATTTCAAATCTTATAGTAAATTAAAATGGTAAACTTGAAATAGTAGCTTAAGTGTCAGAAGTAATTGCCGTGTGGTTATTTGTTTGTATCAGTATTATGGTAACAGCATAATTAGAATGGATAACTGCAAGTTTTTAAAAGTTAGAAAGATCCTGACTAGCTACATCACAAAAATCAACAACTGGTATAAATAATTTTTGTAGCAAATAAAAAGTGCCACATTTTCCAGGCTGCCTTCTTCATATGTAACAAAATAATTTCTCCTTTAAAAAAGGAAAGAATATTCTTGCAAGGCATTTAGCAAAGTTCTATATTTCATGCCTAGCTTTGGTTGCCGGATTAACAGTTGCTGGTAGCAGCCATCCTTCAATTTGAGGATGGTCTCTACCACAGCTCATTGACGGGACTTGAGGTGACCCAAGAGTCCAAATCCTTGAGCCACAGCTCCATCCACAGAAGTTGCAGGTCTTCCTGCAGGGGATAGCAGGCTGCAGGTTGGGATCACTTTCCCTTTCCTTCCTTCACTTTCTCTTTCACTTCAAGGGCAAGACCCTTCACCTTGAAATGGACTGCTGCTTGGTTGAGGTTGTGGTACAACTGGAGTCAGTTGGCAGCCAGCTCCTCCCAGCTCTTGATATCTGTATCTGTTTACTTGAGGTATGCCTGCAATGTGTCTGCAGTTTCCTATTGTTGCGGCAAAGCCGCTACCATGATCTTGGGCCTGTTTCCCCTTCCAGAAGTTGTAGCCTCCACCCACTTCCCTCAGCTGACCCTCATCCAGTCAATCGGTCTTACTCAGAGCTGCAATGTCAATACTGTATTTCACTAGTTCCCTAGAAACAATGGCAGTTCTTCTTTCTGGTCATTTGTTGCCTTGGTTATTCATAAAGGTGTGAACATTCTATGTTGTGAATCATTATTTTCTTATGATGTTTGTGAATGCAGAGAGTGATACCACTGGATGCGATTATCCATCCAGAAGCAGATAAGAAAGCCTAGGTTTAGGGTACCTTTTCTAGCCCCTTCCCCATGTGGGACAAGCAGAGGGTATCAAGAATAGGACTGCTTAGTTGCAGTAGCAACTGCCAAATTGCACCCATCTCAAGGTGCAAGACTATCTTTAGGTTGCCACTGCCATCATGCAGATTTGTTCCTGGAAGCTGCTGTATTCACTAGTCCTGCCTCCATCACCACTAGTCCATCACCACAGGGCTTTTGGAGGCATGTTAATTCCTGTTGCAGAAACTTGCATGTGACTTCGTTTAATCTGAGGAAGCTGATCTGTGGAAACAGCAACCACAAGAATTTGACAAGTAGAGATCTGAGCCCAGTGGAAAGGGAGAACCTTAGATGACAGAAGACCTCCATCATGCTGCACCCTTCTTCCGTCTTTACAGCTGCTGAGATCCCGATATCATCTTCTATCTGATTCACCGCTAAAGATTAGGAGTTGGGCTGTCATTTATCTGGAACCTCCTGTCAGGCCTGTTCACCACAGGTGACCTTGCCAGGACTGTAAGACTCCAGGCGACATAACTCTGATAATCATTATGACACACAAGCCTCTCCGACACTACAAGGTCTCAGGCCATGGAGAGGCCAAAGTATTAGATGGACCAAATGAAGTATAAAAGAGAAGTCATTGCAGCTTTCTCAAGACAGAGAAATATTAAGAAGATGGGAAAAGGAATACTATCAGAGCATACACATTTTATACATTTGTCCGATATGATTCTTACACTCTGCTTTTGAGTAAGGGTAGAATCACAGAAAATGGGGTTTAAACAAATTAGGTACAGTCAATTTTACAAATGCAGAAATGGATTCTACTGTATGTTTTCTAGTATGCCGGCTAACACATTTTAGTTACTAAAGTAAAAAGGGCTTCCATCCCTTCTGCTCAAAATCTGTTCAGCGCTCATAAATCTCCATACAGGTAGTCTTCTGCCTGACATTTTATCCAAGTTCATTTACCAGTACTCCCATTTATACATTCTTATATCAGGTTAATCAATTCTTCCCTTTTCTTCATTATTTCCATCCTTAAAAATACCAGTAAACCATTACTATAGCCTGTTCCCAAATCCAACTCCAAGTGGGGAATTCTATTTTGAACCTACTAACTGACAAAGCCAGCTCTATGAGCAAGGCTATAGTTTCCTACTCACCCAGTACTATAGGCAACACAACCTTTGAATGACTATCCTCCACCAAATTATAAGCCATGGGCAAATGTTTAATTTTTAATGCTTTGAAAAGAGAGGGGAAGTTGCTGCTCAGGAGCAGGCATCAGCTGTTAGCATGAAAAAGGGTTAAAACTGCAGTGGTTCTGCCATACTTGTACTGCTGGAGGAGCATGCAACTACAACAGTGACATCATAACAACTTATACTAGTATCATTCAATACCCATACTATTGCAACATCTGTCTACACCAAAGTGTGACAGTCTTCAACTTGCATCTTTGTTGGTTACTTCTTGAATTTTTTTTCCTTAGCACCTGCTCTTGCAAAGACGAAGTCACTAGTATATCTCACAAACAAAACTTGATCAAAATCATTTTAATAACTAAACTTTATAAAGCCATGACAAAAATCTTAATCCTGTGCACGAAAGAGGATTTTGATCCATGGCCACAAAAAGTGAAGATAAAAAAGAACCAGAGAAACAGTTACAGTGGATGTGATTTATAAACCTTGTTGCAGTAAACTGGCATTAGAGACCTTATTTGCTTGTTCCTTAACAGCCTTAAACAATTCTATGGTTTGAACACATTAACAACAAAACCTAAGGTGCTCAAACTTTTTCTTCTGCCGGTCAAATGGGCAGTGCCTGGTCCAACCGTGGGCCAGGTGGTGATTCCAGTCCAGCATCTGGCCACATGGAGAGAGGCGGGAGGCAGCCTGGCCTTAGCCCACTCCCCACAAAGAGGGAAGGGGGCCTCAACTGGCCCCACAGGATGGGGGAGTGAAGGACATGACTTGGCCCTGTAGGGGGAAGGGACCTGGACCTAGCCCTGTGGATGAAAAGGGGGCATGACCCAGGCCCATGACCCCCCCACAAGGGAAAGGGGGTGCGTCATAGCCCCACAGGCAGGAAGAGAGGGAGTGGCCCTGTTCCAGGTCAGGGGAAAAAGGGACATGGCTCTGCCCCAACAGGAAAAGGGGGTGTAACTTGGCCCCAACCCAGTTCCACAAGAGAAGGGGGCATGGTCTGGCCCCAACCCAGCCCTGCAAAAGGAAGGGGGCGTGGCCTGGATCCCACCAGGTGTGCGAGGCTTGGGGATTTGACGGGGGGAGGGTGAATGGCCACTGCTCCCATGCTGACAAATGTCTGGACCCATGCAGAGGCCCATGGGCCTGAAGCGATGGCTCTGTAAGCAGCACTGGCCCACAGGCTGAAGGCTGAGCACCGCTGAAATAGAGAGATCCTACAAAGGCATTTTCAGTTATGCTTGTATATTTTATGATGGACTTCCAAGTTTAAGAGGAATACATATAAATATATTGAAAAGACATGTTCATTTTCTTTAAATTAAAATATATGAACAAAGAAGTCAATAGAAATGATCAATCAAGCATCCAAAAATTAATATAGTGCATGACAGAAGAGTGCAAATCACAACTAACTCACACAGTAAAAATGCCAAATCCTTGTTTGATCTTAGTTACATCAAGGAGGAACTGCTATCAGAATCTCGCCATGAAAGGCCCTCTCCTTTGCAACGTCCATTCAACGAAGTCTGAAACTAAGCTATTTTTGCTGAACTTTCTCGAATGATGAACGCCCATCTCTGCATGAGCACTGGTGGAAGACTGCTTCCACATTTGCTACCGCTGCTTTGACTAGTTAATAATTTTACATGTCTCAGAGTAATTAATCTATTATTAGCTCAACAGTTTCTCCTTTATGGCACACAACAGTTGTAGTGTTTAATGGCTTAAAAAGCCCCACGTTAAAATGAACGAAGATTTTGTCTAGCAGAAAGAAGCACTTCCCACGATACCTATTTGACATTTTAAGCAAGCCTCTTCAGAGGCAGCTTGCTAAAAATAAAGATGGGACAATTACCTTGATACTTCCCGGAGATAAACAGTCTGCATTGCTTTCTTCAAATGAGATTCAATATTTTTCCAGAGTCTACGTGTATCACGTTCGTTTGCTGCACCAAGCAAAAAATCAACTCCATTAATGTGAACTCTGAGCAAGTGTTTACCCTACAGAATGGAGGAATTCAACCTTGAATGGCTAAACATTGTCAGAAGTACAAAATAGTTGGTGTAACATCCCAACACTTAAATGCTTATATTACCATGATGCAGCATCAGCCTCTATTGGCATAAAACCCTAGATTACAATGCAAAGATGTTGCAATGTGGTTATTTTGTGATATTCTCTGGCTATTAACAGAATCTTTGTTCTCCCTCCCTCCTAGCCTTGACAGAGAAGGCTTATTTCTCCTTCTACTTCATTATTGTAAGAGAGGGTGAAAAGAAGGGGAGCAGAACTGTATAAAGAGAGCAGGTTTTACAGGGGAAGGGGACATGCTTGGCAGCAGTTCCTATTCATCTTCACAAAACACTGATGAAAAGCTAGTCTGTCTGCTTTTGCTTCCAAATGTCACTTGGTGTGCATAAGACACCAAAAGTGATGCTGCTGTGACTAGGAGAATGAATGGAAATTGGTTCAAATGTACATGCTCCCCAAAAGCCATAAGCTGAGCTCCACTGTTTTATCACTGACCACTAACATTAAAGCAAAATACTTACCTTCTCCCCTGACCACTGGTTCACAGTACTTTGAGAAATTTAGTGCTGCCTACAGGAAGGGGAAAAAATAGGAAAAATGCTGAAGTATTTAAAAGGATATATTAGGAATACTCAGTTTGTCATTGCAACTAACATAACTCTTAGCATTGAAAAATGAATACAAATACACTTCAGCTAATTAAGGTGCTTTGATTCTTTGGAGGTATCTCTGGGCTTGCAGTTTCTCCAGGGACAGTCCCTGCTCTCTCAGGAGAAACCACAAGTGTACAGAAGTTCATAATTTTTCTCCTAGAGTAAAAATGGCCACTCGGGAAAAAATAACTCAGGAACAACCAAGTGAAGTGGCTACCTGGAAAATATCTCTTGGAAGACAGAACTTTTGTACAGGCAGCAGACACAGAACCCACCTCCACAGTCCCAGTGTGCTTTGCTTCTTTCCCCCCTCCCCACAGGGGGAGGGAGAGCATGCCTCAGTCTTAGCCAAGCATGGAGCAGAACACCTCCCCTCCCCACACCCCCAAGTGCTTCAGGGTGGAAAAGCCCAGCATTGAAGCACTTAGGGGGCATGTTCACTTCACTTGTTCCCTGTCTTAATCACACAGCAGGACTTGGGTGCAGGGAAGCATACAAGCATAATACTCCCTGCCCAGCCTTACCTGGGCTCCAACACAGGAAAGGGGAGGGGAAAGCCTGGAGAACTCTTCTGTGTATGGCATAGCCCCCACCCCCACCTTCCCTGACCCAGTGGACCCCTGCCTATGTTCACTTAAAAAACAAAAACAAACCCTCCGCCCCCAGCAAAGCTCTCTGGGCTGCATGATTAGAGACCCCTGCAGCACCGTGCTAGCACTGCAGGCTCTTTGCTTCTCTGACTTCTGTACAGGTCTGTTTTCTTCTCAGGAAAACAAACCTGGGAAAGGTGTCCTAGATGATGCAAATCTGTGTATGCAGCCACTGACATTGCACTGAGAAACATCATGTGGCTTCTCTGAACACAGACACAAACCAAAGTAATAGGGGTGCACCAATAGAGATTTTGGGGCCGATATTGATAGCCGATATTTAAGAAGGCATACTAGCTGATACCAATCCAATTTCCAATACAGCTGCCTCCAGCTGGTGAGTCTGGAGGGAAGAGCTGTGTGTGGGGGCAGACCAATGCCCCCTGCAGTAAGGGAGGAGGTAGGGGCAGAGGCAGGCATTCCCTAGGTGGGGGGGGGGGTGCAGA